ATTAGGCATGGCCGATTTGATTTAAGGTTTTTCCTAAGCTCTGGGTAACTCCTGGCTGTGGAAATTGCCATGCATGCGCCCATCGTAAGAATCGGCAATTTCTACATGTTTTGATGCTTGTGTCTTTGGTGGTGAAAGGAAACCCTGAAGTGCTTCCTCTCCAACGTGGGCACCTGTTTGCATCTTTCCCCAAAAATGCAATGGAGGCCATCCTCATAAACCTTTTGAAAGATTCGCCGGCCAGACGGGTCCACCTATTTCGCTGCAAGTACTCCAGAGCCCTGTGTGTATAATAGTTCACCTTGTCTGCCTTCAGCTTAAGTTCCCTTTGCCGAACTTTCAGCCGCAGCCCGACTCGCAACCTGCACCGGCAACTGCCAAACAACCCAGAGGTCGCCGAGTGCTGCCCGTAGTGCCCGAATTTGCGCATGTGATTGAGCTGGAGCTGGCCTACATGCCTGGACAGCAAGCGTTGCCTCGTGCATGCGATCCAATCCATCCCTGCCGGGTCCTCCGCCAAGCTAAATGTTGAAGGCGGGGAGTAAGGGTTTGGTGGAGGATGATTCTGCGGAAGTTCGGTACAGGGTTGTCGTAGAGGGGTTTCATAGTTCCGAGGAGTTCGTTTCTAAGGCCCTTGTTGCTGTTCATCCCTTTGACAAGTTGGATGTTTTGCCTGACACCTTGAAGAGGAAGATGCATAAAGCACTTGTGAAAGGGCCTGTGTGGGTGCAGCAGTCGAGGGCAAGACGCTGGACAAGTGGTTGCGTTGGACACAGAGTCAGGCGCAGGAAGAGGAGGTACATGCCAGTTTGGATCCTGCGGTGTCTTGGCAAGGCAAATCCATACCATTCGTCGATTCCTGCTACGTGTTCTTGTAGTCGTGCGACAGCAACGTCTTTACATTCACCGCCTCAGCCATCGCGTTGGTGTCCTGGAAGAACGATTGGAAGTCGCTCACGCGCAAACTGCAGACCAAGCTGACGTCCCCCCCGCGCTGTGGCTTCGTTGCGTACAGTTCTGGCACAACCGCTCCTCGAACTGGATTAATTCTGCTGACTAGACTGGCCATTGAGTTTTTCCTGCAGTGGGGTTTTTCCGCGGCAATGGCAAGTGATGAGAAGGCGCCGCCTGCACCTTGGTCTGTAGATGGGAACATTTCAGAAAGCGCCTATGAACCTTCGGTGCGTGGAGAGAGCCTGCGCGAATCATGGAAGCAATTGGAATGCATCAGAAAAGGGCAGTGAGGCAGCCTGGTACAGAGAGGTGGAGATGGAAGCTGCTCCCTCCATGGTGAGTGTCCCTGCAAAGGCTGGTGGCATGAGCGCATCATCTCGGATTGAGTTTGTTGGCGACGTGTCATCGATTGTCAGGGCTGCGCACCAACGTCTGGAAGTGCCTGGGCCAAAACAAGTGTGGGAGGACGATTTTTGGGAAACCATCTTTCAGCCAGCTGCTGATCCATTCAAAGACTTCTTTTCAGAAAGATTTGAGCGGCCTGCTCAGTCCTCGAGCTTACTGCTGGATCCTGGAGCGGCTAACTCTAAAGCCCGAACGTCCATGGCTACCTTTGGTTGGAAGCTCTTTCTTACAAGCTGTCAAGAACAGAGATCCAGTCTCTTGGAGAGCAAAGCGAGAGAAGGAGATGGAGGAGGCGCTTGAGTTGTGGGAAGCTTTCATGCTTTCCTGGCCGAGTCACTTGGCGGTGGTGTCGCAGCTTGCTTCTTTGAGCGAGAGTGCTAGGCCTAGGATGGTTAGAGACTTGCTGGGACATAAAGCCCCGTCTACTCTTCTTAAGAGGTACCGAGCCTTGCGGGGGTACTTTGATTATTTGAGCGGCTTTCGTGTTTCTTTCCCTGGAAGTGAGTCAGATTGTTATGGCTACCTCTGCCATTTGCAAGACAAGGGCAAGGCTGCTTCAGCTCGCAAAGGTGTCCTCGAAGCCCTGGCGTTTGCACGCTTTGTAATAGGTTTGGTTGAAGTGGGCAACCTCAACGAAAGCCGGAGGTGTCACGGCAATGCTAAAGTTGTCTCGAATCGTGATCGCGAACAGGCCTCTGCCCTGAAAGTCTCTGAGTTGCAACGGTTGCGCCATGCCCTTGAACACGACCCATCTTTGTGGAACAGAGTTTTCTCAGGCTGCTCTCTCATGTGCACGTATGGCCGCTCCAGGTGGGAAGATCTCATGCGTACTGACAGGATCCTTTGGGATTACGATTCCGAAGGAAATCTTGCTTTCATTGAGTGCTCCGTGGACATCCACAAGACCAGAAATGCCAAGCAGTTTAAGGGGACGCTCTTGCCTTTTGTCGCACCCGCCTTAGGGGTTGTTGATGTGAATTTGGGTGCCCTATGGCTGCAGGCTAGAAAGGATCTTGGTTTGAAGGACCCGCGAGACGGTGGGGCCATGATGCCGGCTCCGGACTCAGACATGCAGATCACTGATCGCAGCCTTGAGAGTGACGAAGCTGGAGCTTGGCTTCGATACGTTCTTTACGGCAGCATTGACAAACTACCGGGGCGCAGGGTTAGCAGCCATTCCCTAAAGTGCACATGCGTTTCATTTGCCACGAATTTGGCTTGCCAGGTCTGCGACCGTTCGAGGCCGAGCAGGTTGCAGCTGCAAATGCAGTGTATCGGGCATGCGTCAGAATCCTGTTTCGCGCCTACGAGACTGGGGCCTTGATCAGCATCGAAAACCCAGTTCGCAGCTGGCTTTGGCCGCTATTGGCATGCCTTGTCAAAGCGTTTGACCATGCCGCCTTTACTGATTGGTTCTTCGCGCTTACAGATTACGACTTCGATGCTTGCGTGTTCGGATCCCGCAGAGCAAAGGCCACCAGAATCAAAGGCACTCCCGGGGTTTTCAAAGGCTTGCAGTTGCCTTGTGATCAAAGCCACACCCATTGTGCGCCTTCCTCTGCAAGAAAGCCGACGCCGCATTAGCCACCAAGGCCGCCAGTCTCCCTGCCTACAAGCGGGCCCAGCTTCTTCGTGCAGAGGTCCGCGCATCTGCTCAGCATCAGCATGTGGCCATGCCTCCTCTCATTCCAGAGTTTAGGTGCACCATGGTCAGATGCAAGGTTTCCAGCATTCACCTCTCACTTTGGACTTTGGGAGGCACTGGGCATACACGTGAGCTCCGAAAGGAAGAAGCTTCGACTTGTAGCTACGTCCATGTACAAGCTCAAAAGCGGTGCAACCATCTTTCATGACTGAAAATCTCGAAATCAGGAAGGCTGCGTGTCGATATGCCCAAGCAAAGAGAGGATCTTCACTTTCAACTTTGTGGCCAGTGTGTTGAAGAATGGTTTGAAGCAGGCAATTTCCTAGTGCGCGAACTGTATGGATGTACCTCTCACTAAACAATGCATCGGGCCCTCTCAGCGGCCGCGCGCCGTGCTTGCCTGGCAGGGGCCTCTCGCGGGCCCTCGAACAAGTCCCACATGGGAGCCCGAGGTGAATCCAATCAGCTGGGGAGGCGCCATCAAACCGCAACAAAACATCAAGGCTGCTGGGATCTCGGAGATCCAAGACGACCAAGGGGCTGTGCGGGACAAAGCGGCAGGAGGCCTGGTCGACTGGGATTACATCCCATCCGTGCTGAGAGGCAGTGGACGACAAAATGTCCTTGAATGCCTGCAAACGGATAAGTTGGGGT